CGTGGGAAATTTGTTATGTCACAGCAGAAAGTGGACAGTGCAAAGTTATATAGCAAAAATTAGAGAACACTGGAATACAATAATAATAATATACTGTACACAACTGCACAGAATAGAATAGAATAAAATAAAATATACAATAGGATATAAATAGAATACAAATGCTATATACAACTGAGTAAAAATACAACTTTGTCAGAAAAAAAGTATTGCACTTAGTCTTATTGCACATGTGTGAGTTTGTGTGTGTTTGATCAGCTGCAAAAGTCTTTGTTGTAGAGTCTGACAGCAGTGGGGAGGAAAGACCTGTGAAATCTCTCCGTCCCACACCGTGGGTGCCGCAGCCTGCTACTGAAGGAGCTGCTCAGTGCTGTCAGAGTCTCCTGCATGGGGTGGGAGATGTTGTCCAACAGGGATGACAGCTTAGCCACCATTCTCCTGTCACTCACCACCTCCACTGGGTCCAGAGGGCATCCTAGAACAGAGCTGGCCCTGCGGATCAGCCTGTTCTGTCTCTTACTGTGCCCGGCAGAGATGTTGCCGCTCCAGCAGACCACACCATAAAAGATGGCTGAGGCCACCACAGAGTCACAGAAGGTCTTCAGGAGTGGGCCCTTCACTCCAAAAGACGTGAGTCTCCGCAGCAGGTACAGTCTGCTCTGACCTTTCCTGTAGAGGGTGTCTGAATTATGAGTCCAATCCAGTTTGTTGTTCAGATGAACACCAAGGTATCTGTAGCTGTCCACAGCATCAGTGTCCATACCTTGGATGTTCAGTGTAGGATGTAACATCCAGTGTAGGATGTTTGTGCCTGTGGAAGTCTACCACCAGCTCCTTGGTTTTATTAGTGTTGATCTGGAGGTAGTTCAACTGGCACCTATTACTATGGTTTTTTATTTTTACCTGGTTTCCGTTAGTGTTTGGTATTGTTTATATTTTTGATCCCTTGTACTTTAAAAGTCGTCCCAGTGTCTTCCACAAAATTTTAAGTATTCGTCTCTTCCCGTTTTATTTTGACAGTCACTGTGTCATGTAGTTTTACTTCCCCTAGCTCACTGTTTTTGATTCGTTTTAGCTGTTTTCTGTTATCTAGGTGTTTCCACTCCTCTCTGATTGCCCTCTGTGTTTCTATGTGTATTTAAAACTTCAGTTTTATTTGTTTTCTTTATTGCATTGTACTGTTTCCTCGTGTGCTTCACGAGCCACCTGGATTTTGTTACTCTGTATTTCGGGGGTCTCTTTGGCTCTGTTTTGTATTTGTAATTTGGGACTTATATCAGCCAAATAAGCAGCTCATGTTTTGTTATTATCATACAGAAAATGATTACTTCAAGTTATTCCTGTTAAAGGTGGTTCTATGAACTACTGAATTACAGGATGTACTTAATTTTTTAAGGACATCATCTGTGAACATGTTAGGATCTACAAATCTGGACTTTCTTTTAATTTGAAGCCCACATGCACGTCTACCATCTTTCATTAAGTCTTAACTCACTGTTATTTATATTATAACACTGTTATATATATTATAACACTTCTATACTAGGCTAACTTTAATGCTTGGTGGGCTGGTGCAGCATGCCTCAGCAGAATTTCTCACCGCATAAAAAGTCCCCTTTGCCTCTTGCACATTCATCACTGCATGCAATGACCTTTTCCTCATGTGAGAGGTTCACTGACAGATGCTGTTATAGACCCAGAGGGTTTTTAAAATATACAGATTTAAACTCATACCTGAAAACAAATGTCAGATATTTCAAGTGTAGATTTCTGTTTTTCTCTTTGAAATATCAAAACACACTGAAGCCACACAGATGGATAAGCGTGAAAGCCTGCAATGCTTCTTTCCCCCCTCCATCATTCTTTTCGGTGACTTTTGTTTAACATTAATGTCCACCAGACGCTGCTGAAGTATCCCCTCCTGACAGCACTGCCAGCTGAAAGACATCACTGTCTCTACTGCGCACAAACAACTCACTTCAAATTAACATCAAAGTGCTGACTGGCGATTATGGCCATAAATCCAGAGGAGGGGGGAAAGCTCCTTAAATACATTTTATTGATTTGCTTTTATTTTTCAGCTCATGAAAGTAGTCACAGTGTTTCTGACAGGAGTTCAATTGTCCAGTGACACCTTTTATCCCAGTATGTTAATACTCTACATCAACTCGGATTAAGGTTTTATTTGGCCCAACAGAAGTATTGTAGTAAGCAGTTTCACTTCAGCCTTAATGTAATGAAGGTGGTTGTTTCATTTAAAATTAAAAAAAAGAAAAGCCTAACGGGGAAGTCAGGAACTCCCTGAAACTCACTGTGACATTTCTGCTGACACATTCGATGTGACCTTAACAGGTAAGTGCATTTATTATTTACACCAGTAACACCCTGACCAATGTCACCCTGTCCTGCAAAATGACATGTTCCTGTAGTAAATGCATTTTTGCATGCAGTGGAGAATTTTAGTACCTGTTAGAGAGTTCTGCTGGAGTAAAAGTAACACAGTTACATCTATTCAAGGTTTACTTAATGGCTGGATGCAGTGCCAGTTATAAAAAAAAAAACCTGCCAAGGCGGTTTAAAATAAGTGAGCTGTAGGCATACTTAAATACCAAAATAAAGTTGTATTGATTTATTTGATTCCATGAGAATAACAGATCACCATAGATTGTTCTTGTAAATGGTAAATGGACTGCTTCTTCTGTAGTTTTTTTTTTTTGTACCCTGCTTGATCACTTAAAGGACTCTATGCAACATGTCTTATTCACCCACTTACACACACATATTCATACAAGCACTTTCCCCCTATGCCTAAGTGCTTTCTATCTAACATTCACACGCATTCACTCAATGCAATGAGTGCATTGGGTTCAGTATTTTGCCCAAGAATACTTTGGCACACAGACTAGAGCAGCTAGGGATCGAATCACAGCCGAAGATTAACTAACAAAACAGACAGAGTGAGAGCCGCAAGTTTCAGAAACGAGGGCTCATATTCTAACCAAAAAAAAAAAAACCCCAAACAAACCTTTTAACAGGCTAAAAAATATGTTTTGCTTTGTGAGCCTATAGCTCACAAAGCATTTATAAAGCAAAGTGCTTATCAACATATATCATATAGCCACTAATGATCATCAAATTCAACTCTAATGTTCAGCACGCCATCATATGTCAGTCAATGGTTCTCCTTGCTCCCAGTGGTAGTAGCTTCACCAGCTCACCTCACAGGATAGGCAGCATAAACGACCACCAACCAACAGGCTAAAATGACCCATTCGTAGCTTCTAAGCATGTACTATAGTCACAACACTAACATCTAATTTATATCCACAAAATTTGAAATATGCATGACGTATTATCATCACGTTGCTGAGCAACCACCTAACAATCCTTTGGTTTCAAAACACCAAAAGCACTCAGGTCAGGGCTTCATGACAGGTCTGCACTAACTGATGGCTGATATATCCACCTTATACTAAGTCTGTCGGTCAGTTGTTTTGTCTGTCATTGCTATAAGTTGCTGAATTTCATTGAAATTTCTCATCACCACATTGCTGCCAGTCTGTTTTCACCCTTCATATATAGTTAGCTGACATCCAACTATATATATGAAACTTATTATTACTATTGTAGTTAACTAAGGCATTTTTAACAAATTTTCATTTTTGGCTTATTGAGGATAAAATGCTTTCTGCTACACAATCAGTAGCAATCCAGTAGATCAGAATCCCTCTGAATCCCACCTGAAAATCACCCGATGTCACCTCATGAAAGGCTTCCTTTTTCTGTTCAGCAGCTTATAAACAATTAATTCCATGTTCTTTTCACTGTTTTTAGTTGATCTCACCACACAGAAGTTTTGAGGTATCCATCATTTTTTACCAGCACATGCAATTTTCTCCTCCAGTAGAAGCCATGACTCCACTGCACTCTGTCTCTATAACTGTTCATCTTTACTGTGTTGACCTTTGAGGGAAGAAGTCCAAATAGTAATACAGAAGTATAAAGGTCTACATAAAAAAAAATGGAAGCATCTGCAAACAGTTACGAGACAGGTGGCGAATAATAAACTGTTTGGCTTCTGGCAGCTGGTTCTTTCTTGTGAAACTTTCTGGCATCTGGGTATTTACACTAAAATAAAAAAACTGTAATATTTGAATTATTTGAGGACTGGAAATGGAAATGCTTGCAGGAATATGTGCAACGTAAGAGCAACATCAACTAGACATTTGAACCTAGGTGCAACTGTTGTCATGCTACAGTGCAAACTTAAATCTAACAGCTACAATAAGAATAAATAGATAAGAGACACCACCTGCTATGGGAAATGGGCTATATAGGAAGCCTATACAAGATATTGAAATCCACTTCCCTCTTCAAAACCAAAGCCCAAGAAGCCACAGGGCTGTGAGTACTGGTGAGGAACAGATATCTGTGCAGTTATCTGTTGCCAACTGTGTTGCATTGTCAGCTGAATGTCCTGGGGCAGATTTCTTAACACATACAGAGATATAAATGTTCACACATACATTGAATAAAGATTACAGATTTGGTTTTCAATTAAATATTGTCCTCACTGACTAAGTGTAAAGACATGTATGAGTGTGTACAGGTTTTTCAGTCGTATAAAAAGTCTTTTTTACAAAAACTTTTAGTGTTCTTTTGATGTTCATTTTTATCTGCATCAAGAAGTCATAAAAAATGGTATCGTGGCCGAATAACGGAACCTCGACTTTAGTATTTTACTCTGTTGAGAGGTGTTGTGCCTTATTATTATCACATATTCACAGCAATCTACATTTCAGACAAGCAGCACTACCATTTTATTGTAACCATTATTCTAACAGTGCCTCAAATGTATGAGATCGTTACTTCCTTTCATTTTGTTGCAGCGGATGCTTCGGGGCCTCAACGTGAATGATGTCTGACTGTGACCTCTCAGTGAAGGGCATGAGGTGCGAGCAGTTCAAACAAGAATTGAATGGAGAGCAGAAATTGTCCAATATTTCCCTTTATTCATGTGGTGACTCCTCACATGTTTTATTTTTTTTGTTTGTTTTTTAGAAAGATATCCTGACAAATACGGACAGTCGTGCCTCTGGAAAGATGCACACTGCATGCATGCCTGCAAAATCACCGTCACGTACTGTATGCCATCAACTGTGCTCTTCACTTGTGCATGTAAATTTATTGATAATCAGTAGGTGTCTGCGCCAGTTCTGTCATTACAATAAAATGCAACTGACAAAGGCAATAAACCCAAAGTGTGGAATAAGCAATATGCTAATCTGGTTACTGAGCACACCTGATACATGAAACCAAGTGATCGAAACTCATTTGTTACTTCTAAGGAATAATCAGACGGTAATGGCGTTTATCTGTTCAGGTTAAGCCTCAGTTAGTCTGTGTGTTTGAACAGAAACCGGCTTCTTGTGCAGCCTTTTAAGGTGCTTTTAAATGTTTTTTCCTCAACCGCCATCAAATTCATGTTTGAATTGTTTCCGGTCAGCTGCATGAGCACCTTTAGACGCCTGCAGAGAAAAGTTTGGTAGGGCAGCGTCCATCCAAGCAGAAATTATAACAGGGGACAGGAGATCAATACATTCAGGGAGAGATAAGGCTGAAGAATACCACAAAAAAGAAGGTTTCTTTGCATTTTCAAAGTGTTGCACTCCTCAAAAAGTACATTCGGCACATCGATTACCTGATGTGAGTTTAAACTCGCGAGAAGAAATAAATGCAAACGCCTGAATCTTAAGCTTATCTGAACAGGCACAAATGAGCAGCACCTGTCTTGTGAGTTTTATTTCATGTCCACATGAGTTCCCCTTTCCCCGAGATGCCAGAACTGTCCAAAAGGAACAAAAACGAAATAAAAACCCGGCACATCAGCGACTTCCACAGTGCTCTGAGAGGAATGTGACACCTCTCTTCATCAATTTTTGTGCCTAATTCTACTATTTTTATTACTCTCTTTCAAAATGCACTTATTTTTGGTCATGCAGCCAACGTTGAGATCTATAATGCCATTTTTAAACATCAAACTGTGCTGTTGTCATCCTAGACTTTTGCATTTGGCAAACTCTCTGTCTGAACTTTTCAGCAAGCAGGAAATCAATAAAGGACATTACTTTGAAAAACATTAACATTATGGCCTCCTACATGCATCATTGCAGTTTTCTCAAGCAGAAAATGGGCTTTCAAACCTCTGAGCAAGGTTCAGATAATTCCCTTTAGATTTCCCGGTTTTAGCGACGCTGTATATTTCAGCCACAGCTATTCCCCCTGTAGACAGAGAGCGAGAGAAAGAGAGAGAGATAGAGGAGGGAAAAAACTTCATGGCCACAATATTTCTCTGTCAAATTGCAGGGGGAAGACAATGTAGGAAGGCAGGGTCAGTGATGGAGCACTCTGCCCCGAGAGGCAGAGACTGAATCGCAGTCATAAAGGGAGTGATGCTCGGTGAAATGGCAGGAATCTCATTTGGCTGCTCCATTTTCACAAGCGTCATTATCGTACACCTCGATGTCCTGGAGACTGGAGGCGTCCGTATCGTCCCCTCCGCTGCTCCCACTGTTCCTAAAGGCAATGCTTCCTATAAAGGGGTACACGCTTCCCGTTAACAGTTCTCTGATGTTGTAATGAGGGAGTTCTGGGTCTTGTCTTTCGGGCTTGGTGATGCACTGTCCCTCCATGGCTTTGTTTCTTTGATAGTACTTTGAAAACTTGTTAAAGATGATGGTGATGGGAAGAGCCACCACTAGCAGGCCACAGATGATACACACGGTGGCCACAATCTTCCCCGCCACGGTCACGGGGCAGGTGTCCCCGTAGCCGACTGTGGTCATGGTGATTGTGGCCCACCACCAACCTGAAGGTATTGTCCCCAAATCGGTGTCCTCTTCCTTCTCCGCGAAGTAGATGAGAGCAGAAAAGATGGAGATTCCCACTGAGAGGAAGAGAAGGAGCAGGCCCACCTCCTGGTAGCTGTGGCGGACGGTGGCCCCCAGCGCTCGCAGTCCGATGGAGTGGCGAGCCAGTTTGAGGATTCTGAGAACCCTCATGAGGCGCAGAACCTGCACCACTTTCCCCACGTTTTCTAGGTCCTCGTTCTCCTCTGCGCTATCCTCGTCGGCGGTCTCCAGAGCTAAGGTGGCATAAAATGGCAAAATCGAAGCGGCGTCGATTATGTTCAAGGGGTTTCCGAGAAACTTCCGTCGGGAGGGCGCGACGATTAACCTGATTATGAACTCTGCGGAGAAGCAGACGATGCAAACCGCCTCCAGTCTAGTGAGCACGGGGTCCTCGATGGGCCTGTCACTGTCATCCACACGCTGAAACTCTGGCATGCTGTGAACACACATGGCAACGATGGAGGTCAACACCACGCTGAGGGAAGCCACAGCAATGATCTTCGAGGCTCTCGAGTGACCCGGATCCTCCAGTCTGAGCCACACGTAGCTGCGAATTTCTGCACACCAGGCACCTTTAAACTTGGCGAGGTCTTTATCGAGAGCAGAGAGCTCCTCAAACGAGGAGTCGAAGCTCGGCTCCTGCTGGTCTTCGCTCCTGACGTCCCAGTCTCTGTCCTCGATGTACTCCTTCCTCTCGTGGTACCAGTTGCTGCAGCAGGGGCTGAGGTGGAGCTCCTTGATACCCCAGTACTCAATCTCTTGGCAGAAAGAAAAAACGCACAACTCTTCCATCATGTGGATTTGTCCCGTGTGGTAAAAGTTAAGCACGCAGAGGAAAACCCGAGGATTCCTGTCAAAGTAGTACTCCTTCTCAGCCGGGCTGTAGTCGTCACACAGCTCCAGGATTGCCGCCTCGCTCTGGCAGCACAGCAGACGAGCCAAACGCGTGTGAGGAAAGCGGAGCACCATATCAGGATCCAGTTCATGCCGTACCCCTCCCACATTGAGGTGGACCTGGTCCTCCTCATCCCCTCGCCGGTGGAGGATTTGCCCATACCCCATGATCCTGAAAACACATTCACAGTGAAGTCAGTTCATTCTAGCAGACTTTTTGTGTCTTTTTTTTTTATGACAACTAAAATGTCCATAAGGATTTCCCAGTGAAGAGTAACCGTAACGTTTAAATGAATGGTTTCTATCAAGACACATTTGACTGCACTGTTTGTAGAATACATTAGTCTTCGGAAGGAGGGAGGGGGATCAATACCGCACACACAGAAAATGGCTTATACTGAGAGAGCAGAGAGGCATGAGGTGCTGTCACATGTACAGGATTACCACTAGAAAAATATCATTTTACAAACTGATTTCCAGCCCTCGTCTACATTTTTGTGTAGATATTTTTAAACAGTTGAATTCTAGACACTAAGCTGGTTTAAGTGAAGCTGAGTTTTTCAAATTAAAGTTTTTTGTTTTTTTTTAAATTGGTTAATAAGGACCTGATAAGTCTGTTAATTATAGGGTCTTGATGCAAAGGTTGAAAAACATACCTGTATTTGGAGCGTTTCTTTCCATGAAAAAGAACTTTTATCCTGTCGTTTTGCTTTTCATCTTCTCCTGAAATGCCGCACAGAGCAGGTCAGCGGAGGGAGTGAGGCGCCGCAGCTCCCCGGACGGGACAAGAAGAGCTGGAGGCGGGACAGAAGCACGGAGGCAGTTTGTTCCCTTTTCTAGGGAACAGGGAGGGGCTAGGGAGGAGAGGAGAGGGCAGCGAGAGACTGGGAACACCTCTTGAGAAATTTATAACGTATGTAACCTAGTCGCTTTATTTTAAAAGAGCCTCCAAAATGATTATGTTTCTGTCCTGGGCTATCACTTACTCCCTCTTTAAATGTCACTTCAGATGTGCTCAATGTCCCTTACAAACCTCACTTGTTCTGTATTTGAGTGAAACAGCTGCAGTTGAAACAGCTGCAGTTGAACCAGCGCGGAGACAGCGCACTGGCTGCAGAGAGCGAAGTAACTAATAAATGACATTTGAATCCACTTTGAGAAAGCGCTGCCGGGAGGCGAACTGCCAAACCACACTCTAAAACGCTACTCATCAAACAGCTGCTGTTCAACGTTTATAAATCAGGTTTTATAACTTACCAAACTCCGTGTTTTTATCCCCTCAAAGAAAGAAACCTCAGCATCTCCCACAACTTCTGTGTGCTATACGGAAGACCAAAACGGCCAAGCTTAAGAAGCACAAAAAATTTGACAAAATAAATGTATATACTGATATAATTTATTTTGTTTACTTTTATTGCTGGATTGTATAAGTATTTACTTAAGGTATGTTGTATTTTTTTTTAAAGTTTAATTAATAATGTTTTAGTTGAGGAAAAATAAATAATAAAATAAAATGAACTAAACAATAAATAGGGGGATTGATGAAAACCTAAATAATACAGAAATATGAAATTACTTCATGCTTTCTAAATTAACTATAATAATATTTTATGGTGCATTTGATGATAATTTGTCTGAAGTATCTTTGTTTGTTTTAATTTTTGATTTTTAGCAGTTTTGACCCTCCATAGAATCTATGTCTTCACTTCCTAAAAGCACAGGGGATTTCCTGAGTGCTTCCTGCTCTTTAGGACTTAAAAACTCAATTTGCCATTTTAATATCTATGTCCTTTCTGAATAAATGTGTGTACAAATCTTCAGGGCTACACAAGGGTTGTTGATAGTTATTCTATTGATATCTTCTGACCCCAGTGGCACCTCTCAAGACCCCAACTTCATTTTGACTTTTTCTAATTGGTTTTACTGTGAATTTGTGACATTTTTGAATTTACACCACTCATTTCAACTTAGGTGGGTTATTGGAAGATTGTATGAAAAATCTCACACCTTCATTTTTATTTTACTTTATTCACATAGACTTGCTCCCTCAACTGAAGAACGTAAAACCAGCAATTATTAGCAATAGTAAAAAACACTGCTGCCTTTTTTAAATTCATTTCTGCTTTGGTTTTGTACTATAACTTTTAATTTTTAAATGCTGTCCAGAGTTTGGATGAATTCTCAGTATATAATAAAACAAAACAAACACACATGCTTCATTTTATTAATTATTTACTTTACAACAGTTCACTTGGTTGGACAAGCATATTTGAATTTAATTCCAGTACAAGTGCCGTCAGCATTTTTGCAGCTCAGGTTAAAACTCACTTCCACCCAATCAACCTCATCAGGCTCCAACGAGATCCACCTGTGTGGCTGCAACCTCCCTCATCTTACCCAAAGAGGAGCCTTTAGGTCCTCTACAAACTTCTTTAAAAACGTCAAAAACAGAGACGCTAAGATTACCACTTCCCCACCTCTTGTGCCATGGGTCACTCATTAGGATTGGGGTTTGTAGCTTTATTTTTCTAAGAACCTTTTCAGTTAAACTTTCAGATTTTTGTCTTTAACTGATTGAGTTGTTTTTCAGGTGGTTCATTCTTTTGATAGTTGTTATGAACACAGAGGCTCAAAAGAGGCCCCCTTTAAGTAAGTTTTATTTATTTTTTTATAGTTTTTCCTAAAAATGTCACTTAATCAAACTACTGCTTACTTACTCACATAAATGTTTATTTCCAGATATCACCGCTCAGTGTCTGGGAAATGTGATGCGTGTGGATGTTGGTCCACTTGGAGGAAATCTTATGAAAATTACTGCCATCATGAGTAAGCTGAAAATTATTTTTCTTTGGCTTCTTGCCTCTTAAAGCTTAATTTTTCTCACTTTTTTTTTTTTTTTTTTGTGTTCCTTATCTCCTCAGATAACACTGCAATTCCTCTTACGCCAAGTTTAGCCTCGCAGTGTGGCATCAGTGTGAAGATTGATCTGCTGGGAAACGCCTTGATTTATGCCTCTCTTCAAAACTGTTTTGTTCACAATGTGGTAACGTAACAAAGATAAAGACAGAATTATTAGAGGTTGTTGTTGTGTTTTTTTTCTTTTTTTCAAAGCACCCAATGTGTGTCCTATGCTTCTAGTGTTAACTTTTTTTAAATTTATTTTTTTTGTAGGATGATAAAGAATTCACCACTGCTTTGCATCTTCGACTGCATGGAAACCAGTTGTTTGAAGACGAGGTGTACCAGGTGGTTAAAACCTGTCGCTACACTCCCTGGGCCTTCAGGGAAATCATCTGTGACCACAACTATATGGAGGCAAGTGACTGCAGCAAAACCTTCTCTGGTCATATTCCCATCTATATGATAGTGGCGCTATAGCCCATAAGAGCATCAAGGCTAAAACAGTTCTTGGAGAGGTGAGAGATGGCTTATCATTGACTCGAAGGGTCTTGTTTCTAGGTGTCTGTGAAGAGGGCAGCTGCAGATGATTACGGCCTTCCTGCATATTCCGAGCAACAGGGCAGTCCAGAGTTTGCTTATACTCGACGAGCCGCAGAGGTTAGAGGAGCTCGTTTGGCCTCTCGTCTATTCTCAGAAACCATCTCTGCATGTAAAGTCACGATTTGGTGTTTGCCTTACAGAAACGCCCCATAGACGCAGGATACATAATCACAACAGTTGTGTTCTTCACACCTGAGGAGAGGATCATGAAGGCGACTGAGGCCCACCAAAGGGGGTACGGGGTAGGAAACACTCCCACTAGGGTGATTCTCCGGAGTTCAAAGTCTGCACTGGCAACGTACACCCAAACTGTGAGTAAACTGCAGATCGCATGCTTTTCATACATGCCTGACATGACCTGGCATCTTGTTTACAGACAGCCTCTGGTTAAAGTACTTGCAGCCCATTAGATGGCTCACACTTGCAGTCAGTAACCAATTGGATTTAGATTAAATCATATGATCAGACTACCTTTTTAAACTTGTTACGGTCTCACAGCGATTTGACAAGATAAAGTACATATGGCCCATTAGCCTGCATTTCCACGTGCTAACAAACTGCTCTTTTGCACACACGCTTTTTCTTCAATGTATTAAATGGTTCTCACCCTGCAGGTAGCAGGGGTGCCCATGAAGGTGTTCAAAACCTCGACTATCTTTGAGAAGCAGTGGCTGACTGCTCGAGTTGATGCTGTAGCTGCTTGTCCAGTGCTGGACGGTAATTAAACTCTAACCATGTGAAAGTTGCAGGGAACTCGTGTCATCTAGTGTTTAAAACCTGAAGGCTTTAGCAGTTAAACCTGCAAATTTGTGTTTTTTTTTTTCTTTTTTTTTTTCTAGTCTTCTCCATTAATGATTCCTAGGGTGGTGATGCATTTGGACTAGGGATATATCAATACTGGTATCGGGGCCGATACTGTAAAATGTGTGTGTACTCATACTCGTAAAAGTTAACAGATACCATGAACCAATACCAACTTATTTCATTAATCAGAGGGTGGCATGTCATCTCAGTTGTAGTGTTTTAGATTGGCCACTAGGGGGCCAATTATTTTATAATTTTTTATATTTTATTATTTATTTAATAATGATTTTGTTTGTTTACAATATGGACACTCTGCAATAATTTAAGTTTAATTTATTCGCAAACCTAATTTGTATTTATTTCATTCCAAACAGAAGTGTTTATTTATTATTCTGAAAGCTCGAGACAGTGCCAATAGTTCAGTGATATTTTGTAAAATTACAATGTGGAGACTCTGCAATAATTTAACAGTGCTTATTTTTCACTTGAAATTTTTTTGTGGTCATTTTTATTAAGATTTTATTTTTTATCGGCAAGGAATATAATAAAACTTGTCTTCCAAGTGTATTTGTGTGTGTGTGTGGTAGAAGTATCGGTGTGTGTGGGTTTTTTTTTTTTTTTTTTTTTTGTTTTTTTTTTTTTTTTTTTTGTGTACTCAGATCCAAGTATTGGTATCTGTTTGAAAAAATTGGTATCGTTGCATCCTTAATTTGGACATTTAGAAATATTAACTTGTTGTCTGTCCCAGGTTTAAGATGAAGACTTATATGCATGTGTGGTTTAGAAATGCTAAGCTGTTAACAAAGTTGTCTGTCAGCAGACCTTGTAGCCTCTAAATCCTCTAGAGTGTCTGTTTTGGCCTCTGTGCCTTATGTGCAGGTCATAGTGTTTCCTTCACGCCCACCATGATCACTTGGCGCCTGCCCCAACGCATTGACCCCTTAATGTCCTCTGGGCGGGTTCAGCTCTTGGAGGTGTACTTAGGAATCAACGGTCAGAGGCTCGATCCTACTCAGATGCCGGCCAAGCTGTCTGCCGACGACTCGTACATCATTGTTCAGATTCCTGTTGGGGCCGACGGTGGATACTTTAAGGTGAAAGGCAGTTGTTTTTATAAGAAATCAAGATTTGTATCAAGTATATACTGATAAATGGCTTCCTTTCCAAAGCAGAGCCTCCAAAAGAGTTGCTCTACAAGCATTAAAGCGGGAATCTTATAAAGAATTATTACAACTTTTGTTCTGCTTTTAGATATGTTCCATTAGGAGTAGTCATAATGACAAATTCTTGGTTTTAAAATGATAAACAGAGCCATATCCAGGGAAATCGGTATCTCCTCTCCTACACAATCGAACCCATGCTGGAGTTGTTCTGGACTGAAGATGGAGAAGACACAAGATACAAAGTCTTGTTTCCCATCACGACGCCTTTGTTGTCACTGAATCTTCAAGTTTT